GTGAAATCAAAAAAGATGTTTTCTTACGTAACTCGACGAGCTCTTTAAAAATAAACTCATTGTAAGTGAAACGGGGCAGGACACTGTAATGATAGGATGTTTCAGATGGACTTATATCCATATGACGCTTTTCACTGCAATATATCATATATACTTCACAGTGTTCCCTTTTCATTCCAACAAAAGGATATATTTGATAAAGAAAGGTATATAAAAATTTTGCCGGTACTGTAGGTTTGGGCTAATATATCTTAACCATGTGAGGTAAAGTAATGAAGCATTTTTGGAGGCTGAAAGTATTTTTCATTGGATGAAGATTCTGACGAATTAGCGGTAATCAAATGAAATCTATTTTCAGTAAAACATTGTTTCCCTTCCACAAAAGCTTGCTGTATATTTATATCGCCTATTGTACAAGAATTTTCTACGAGCATCTTTTCAAATTTGAAAGATTCATTTTATGTTTCCCTAAAAGCTATAAGTAAATTTCTTTAGAAGAAATTAGTCACGAATTTTGCAGGGCAGTTTAAACGGCAGTTTTAGAAGTAAAATAGTTCTGGGATCGTTTTGTCCAATATTCTTAAGGAACTCTTAAACTTAAGTGGGCATGTGATCTCCACTCAATCTTAATTAAGGTTTGACCTAGTTCTTCATTTTTCGTTGTAGGTTTAAGTGTCAAATTCAATCTTTGTTTTGACGCAAGTGTATCTTAACCAGAGGTGGACAAGTCCCAGTCCGTTGTGAAGCTAAAATTTTTCAGCTCCAGCCCAGTTCCCGAAGCTTTGCATGGCCGTGGCGATAGAGGAGAGTATTAATTAGTGTTTAGTTAATATTAGTGTTTTTAATGGAAAATTTTTCCAGAATGGGGCTTCCCATTTTGCTTTCAATTTCGGAGTGGGTTTTCCTAGTTTGTTCTGGAACATACAGTAGGTAAAACCGATACAAAATTTTTTCAGGAAGTCTTTTCTATTGTCTCACAGTCTTAGTTTTTACACTTTTACTTACATGAATACAATCACCTTCCTTCACCCTCTTTCAGATAAAGTACAGTACAGAAGGCTGAAAATGAATTTATTACGTTCGTTTGCTCATGATCTTCTCCCAAAAAATTTTGGAGTATTAAAACCATTTTTACCTTACTTCCATAATCTTTTAATTTTCTCCCAAAAATTTACACCTGCTCGGATTTTTCTCTCGTCACGGCTCTGAACTTTAAGCCCGGTGTCAGTCTACGCATACGTTGTTTTTTCCATTTCGCCGCCTTTGACCTTACACAAAGAAAACTTCGTGTAAGATCAAAGGCAGCGACGATCAATTGTGCTTTCCGGGATCAAACATATATTCATCAAAGAAAAACAGCCGTCGTTTGATCACAGCTGATCTTAAGCGACCGCGCTGTAGCATCAAAAAGGTAGAAGAGTGAACAGATATGGACTGAATAGTCCAGTCACAACTGTGAAAGAAATCACTCCAAGTCCCCTAAGACTTCAGTCACAGTCTGTGTGAAAAAGCTTACCAGGCGCGACTTGGCCCTGCCTATCTCTGATCATAACTCCATCTTACCTAAAACAATTCTAGAGTTATTGTCCTGAGTCAATGCTGTAATATAACACGCTATACAAAGCTTAACGTTGAATCAAATCTGTTCGTCAGTTTATGAATGTAAGAGTATTGATCGAACGTTGACCTATCATTGTCTCCTAATAGGTTCTCTTATGAGAAATGTTTTTCCGCATTTTTAGATGTTTTTTCTCACATTATTAGTGTTAATTGCTGTTATACCGAACGGTATGTTTGTGTCAATATTATTTCTAACGGCGCTAAATAATAAACATTTTTGTCTGTGTCTATTTTAGTTTCAAGTTTGGAGTGCTGTAAGTTTAATAGCAAATAACTATTTGTTCAGCGGTAAGTTTTCTTCAAATTGTTTATTCTAGATGTTTGCGAGCAGCAGGAAGGAAACGACGACAAATGCGTGAAAACAGTTCGAATGTGTCAGAAGAATGAAGATACATGTGCATCACTAATATTATGGACAACTCCGCATGAGTGGACACCACGAGGCGAGCGACGTCACTATATTTCAAAAGGATGTGATACAAAAGACAAGTGTACACAACGTAAGTACCGGTTTGATGCAGGTGACTGAGAGCTACAGTTTAATAATTCCTATCATCAGATTAGTCATGTTTCAAGCTGTTTTATACCTGATCGGTAGAGTCTTGAATGGATGAACTGTTAATTAAAAACTTTTATCACAATATCTTGCTTCATTGAAAGTGTTGAAAGAATTTGAAGCCGTTGATATACTCTTCAGTGGTAGATTCATGGTTTATATGGTTTCAATCATCTTTTCTTGAATTCTTTAGTATTATATGGTCTTGCTACAGTCTGTTCACGAAACTGGTATGAAGACTGGGCTTGTGTCGAATGTTGTCAAGGAGATCGCTGTAATAGATATGTTGTTGTGAGTAGAAATAGTACATGATTGCGCCTATCTAGCATTTTTATAATTGTATTGTGTATATTTAGCTTGGCTCAAACACAATGAATCCCTCCATATGTCTGTTGATTTTAACTGTTATTTCAACTTTTTTTTTATTTGATAAAGTCTTGCACTAAATGTCTTATGAGTTTCGTTTTTTCGTCGTAAAAGTATGTAAAGTTTATTTCATTTCTTTCGCTTCTTTTGAAAATCTCATAATGATCTGATACGCTTTTTAACGTTTTAATTCTGTATATATTAGCCGAATTAGTTCAATTAATGACCTTTTTTTGTGTCAATTGTATACTAGTTTTATGCTTTTTTCTCTTTATATGCTTAGATTAACATATTAACTGTTCAATAATACCGCTTAAAATTGTTCGTCTACATTTCGGTTATATATTGACATTCCTTTTGTATATAAGGCATTTTTTAGCTTTTTCTCACTTTTTGTACTCGTTTTGTACTATTTTTAATGAAAACGATCTAGTAATAGTTGACAAATTGAAATATAATATTATCCTGATCTGTTGCCTCATGCTGTTTAATATATTAAATACCAATGCATTCACCGTCAATCTCTATGGCCACAGGTTACAAGAATTGATATTTTGCATACTAAAATTGTGCATACTAGCGCATCAAGTCTGTTTATAGACCAACCTACATAGTTTATATATGTCTGTATTATTTGAGTGTACTCATATAAAAATATAAAGGATCGATCGCCATGCTAGTAAATATTGTGTGCGCTTGATTATTTGCATACTATCTATACTTACTGTTGATTGTTAGAAGTATTTTTAGTCTTTTAGTTACTAATTGCAATCGTGGAAACACTTTAACGGAAAAAGATAAACTTGGCAGTATTTCTATGAAATAACAGTAACTATAAAAGTGCACATAATTTAAACAGGATATCAGAAATCACCGAATCAGTTCATAATGTTTCTATCTGCTTCTTGAAACTTACGTTATGCGCGTCAATATTTATATCACGTAGCGTAAACGCTTTTTTTCACATGGTACAAATCTGAACTGTTTGATGTCCTATTTATCTAGTTATCGATCTAATCACTCTAAAAGGACAGGGGACGGTTTCTGCAAGACAATGGTCTTATATACCTTTGAGAAGATAACAACTGCAACTTATCAGAAACCGTTCGTTATTTACTTTTTGATATAGCTTATTCTGTAGCCTTTTCAATTCTGCATTTTTCTATGTATAAACCATTCCGGGTCTGAGTGCGCTGACAAAACTATATACATTTTATTATATTCAATGAGGGTTACATATACGGGAAGGAAATAGTCATACATAACGTCTGACCAATAACTCTGTGAAGACATTAGTTTGAAAAGATGTGGTATAGATGGATCATTTTGAAGTCCGTGTAATTAGGCATCCAACAATCCCAAGCTAGGGTTCGCTGAGCGGCACCGAACAGTTTGTTATCGAACATGTGCGCTGCCGATCTGCGAGTCCTAGCTTGAGATAGTTGCCTCCCTAGTCTGGTCTAAAGACAAATGGGATGAAATTGAAGTTTGTGAAGGAACTAACCAGTGAGAAAATAGACTAACTAAAGTACAATGTGAGCGAGTGTGTGTTCTATCAGATCGTTACCGAACATATTCGGTCAGCCAGCGATTCTCTACGAAAGGTTTAAAAAAAATAGTTTGTCAAAGCTAAGCACATGAGAGCGAAGAAACATATGAATAAATCTTTGTAAAACAGAAAAAATGGTGAAGATTACACCAAACGAAGGAGCAGCCATGATTATGCTGTAGCCGTAGATAGTCATGCAAAAGTTTGAATTAGAGCAGCAATTTTATGTTTGCTTTATTCCAGGAAGTCCAAAGTACCCTTGGTTTCCATTATATCTGATTTGCTCTCTAACTAAAGCATACTTTACTGATGTGGCCTCTGTAGCAGATTGATTTACTTTGTTTTAATGCAAAAATGCTTTTTACTGTGCCAATAAAGTAGACAGAACGTTCTAGCCCTAATTCGAATGTATCTTTATAATGTTTATGGTACTTTGTCCTAATAGTTTCTCAGCAGAGCGCTCGCTGATATGTCTGATGAGAAAAATGTAAACTATCGCATTTGCAATCTTCGTCCGAACACGTTCGGTCGCATCAAGTTTCCAGGCCGAACACGTTCGGTGACAGAACTATCGAATTGGTGCATGCCTACTTATAATTGCGCATGTTTTCATATATAAGATTCTATTAAGAACATCGAACTGTCAGAGAAAAAAGAATAAATACGATCGGATAGGCTTCTGGACCAATGTTCAGAAATGATTAAAAATCTTAGCATATGGTAATCTACAATCAACTTTTAAGGTGCAGAAATATCAAAAAGTAAATAACGAACGGTTTCTGATAAGTTCTGAATGATGTAAGTTCTGAACGATGTAAGAATTTTAAAATATCAAATACATTTGTGCTCTACCGAAATATGTTAAATGTATTCTTAATATTCTGTACAATTATGTTCATAACATTTTGTGTTCGTTGATGTATAACTGTCTGTATCTTCATCTACCATTTCTTTCTTTTCTTGCGTCTATGTCATAATGATAACTCATACTATGAACTGCCGGCAGATCTTCGTTATATCTGATATCCGTCCGTTTATGTATGACAGAATTGCTTTTAAAAAATAAAAGAGAAATAATTTGCAAGGTAATTTCAGCCAAATCAAGAAACGAAACTAAAATGGAATAATTTCTAGTTTTCTCTCTGTATAGTATCGTTTCATCAGAGAACTTCTTAGAGTTTAATCAAAGTCTCTTAACATTAAATATTTTAAAACAACAAGCAGGTTTGATATATCCTTGAATATATTGCAATGCCACAATGAGTATATGACTTCTATAACTATGTTCACTACTTTGATCGTTTAGACTTGTTTTTGAACGAACATTTCGAATACTGTATGTGAAATTTGAAAATAAATATTTTTCATATGCTCGATGATTGTATTTTGATTTGTACCTACCTATTTCATAGCACGGAGCAATAATATAAACGAGTTAAAATTTTCATATAACGCTGAGCCGTTATAATTTATAGTATATGTGTGTCTATTGCAAGAGTATCCATTTCTTGGTGTATAGAGAATTGTATTGCCTAAGACATATTCGTCTCAGTTGTCATTTCACCACTATGTCTTTCTCTCTATTCCAGATACACATCTATGGGTGCTATGGTTGATGATGGAAAGCCATTCGATAATTACAACCCACCATCATGGGATGAATTTTTCATGCTAAAAGTATATCTAACAGGTATTAATATGTAATTAAAAGTCTATTGAGACAGTTAATATACTCAGTTTCCTTCTAGCCTCCAAGTCTAAAGATCCAAGAACAAAAATTGGTGCTGTTCTTGTGCGTGGTCGACGGGATTTAATATCCGGTGAGTACTTTTCTCTTCGAGATTAGCAAGTCTGGCATTGGTTCTTCAGTATCTACATTATATGGTTCAAGTTTAGGTTATAATGGAATTCCCGAAGGCGTTGAAGATCGAGAAGAACGTTTTAACCGTCCAGAAAAATATTCATATTTCGAACACGCTGAACGAAATGCGATATTCACAGCAGCTAGACACGGAATAACAACACACGATGCAACACTTTATACACAAGCACTGCCATGTGTCGATTGTGCAAGGTAGTTTTTCTCATCCTAAGTGTTACCAACTTCCCTTATATTCTTAATATTGATGTTTTAGAGCAATTATTCAAAGCGGTATTTCAAAGATATATGTCCATGAACAATTTTACAAATTATGTGAAAGAGTGCAACGTGACAAATGGCTGGGACATGATAAGATAACAATGGAAATGTTTAAAGAAGCAAATGTGGAATTGATCATGTTAGATTTAAAATTGAATGTCAAAGCGTACTTAGATGGAAAAGTATATACAGTTTAAATTTAATAATTCTCACTTATGTCTTGTCTTCCATGTGCTCAATATTTTGACGAATTATATTGATTTGATCATGCAACGTTTTGCCACAATGTAAATATGTCGATGTTAATAGATATTTTTTTGATAGAAAATCTTCATCTTTTAAATTTGATGTTTGTTCATCTTTAAAACGGTAATAATAGAAATTACGATTGGTTACATTTTCAATGCACAACTTACAGAGTTCAGCCATTTGTTCGTTCAAAAGTCTCGTAGGTGGCTAAGTACTGTTGTCTCAATTCATTCCAGAAACAGAGGTGTCGATGTCACACACAAATATAAGAATGGGACGAATCGAATACTCAGAATTTAAAATGAGATATGTTAAGAAAACTACAAGATTCTTCTCGTATGTCGACTGAGACAAACAAGCGTAATAACGAAGATCCCCAGGATGAAACTCATGTAGATATCACTATCAGAGCATTCTCAATTAAGTATAACGTACGTAACACGTGTGGATAATCGTATATTCAAAAGGTCAAGACTGTCATCACTTGAATGAATTAGGAAAGTAGGTTAGAGAGAGAAACTTAACGCAACTTTATAGAATATATACGGAGCCTACGTGTGAGTGAAATTTACTGTTTTTCGCTCCGAATTTCACACTCTTCCCTTTCTATCCATACGTTGGAAGGGCGAGGGCACATTTACCTAATTTTATGTGAAATATTCTGAGAATTTGTCATCTTAGTTTTCAACATTTTAAATTTCATAGTGTCGCTATATTATCAGGTGGGTACACTCAATTGACACAAATTGATAAACTATTTAACTTTAATAGACTTAAATTTTGAAAGAAGCTGGGTTTTTAGATGGAAATAACTTTTTTTGTCTCGTTTTGAAGACATGTCTTCCGTATTTTATAGACGATGAAAACAATTTTTACATGGTTTTTAAAAAATTTAGATATTTCGGATTTGTAAAAAATTTTGTTTCAATGGAGTAAAACTTGGGTTGAAATTTTTCATTAATGGACCTATATACTTCAAGTGTAATCGTTAGATTCATTTCAGCCGCTCGGATTCAAGAGAAAAGTCAAAAACAATTTTCTAAAAACTTTTTACCGCCACTTTAGACACATTTTCATTTCCTTTCATAAGTATCACCTTCGAAATGTCAATTTACGAACACCAACGGAGCGGAAATGGTGTCTGTTAATCAAGGTTACTGGCGGAAAGAACATTATTGGATCTCACACACGCACATATGTTATGGAGACTATTGAATTATTTTTGTTTCTTTTTTGACACAAACGAAAAGAAACAAACAAAGAAAAAAGCAAGGTATTTTTTCTTTTCTCAGCTGACGTTTCATGTCATTGTTAGGAAGATTGGGGCGCTGAGTAGAGAATTGAAACAAAAATCAGTGTGATTGTTCTTCTCTATACAGACATCTGTTTAGTCAAAAATAAACCTTGATTTTCTAATTTACTAATGCTATTTTAGAAAACATTGTTAGCGTCGAAAAAATGTTTTTGTGTCATCGAGGTTGTTGACAAAGGCCTTGATTTCGATACTCGAAACGTAGAGATTAAAACATTCATTATTGATTCCTAATTTTGTTTTAAAGAGGTAGTTTCAGATATTTTCTCAATCCTAAGTCTAATGTTGAGAGTTCTAAATATATAAATATCATGTACATGTATATTTTTATTTACCAAAAATCGTACAAAATACTAGAAAATTCTTCACATGTGCTAAAACATGGACTATACAGAGTATCGTATGATGAGAGGATTTGTATGATTATAAGAGTTCAGGATTTGCAAATAAGACGAACATTTCCTTATTAGGTCAACCATCTTAAGACAGAAATTCACATCTTCTAAAACTCATTCTCCTTGCCAGTAGCGCAGCCAAGGGGGGATTGTGAGGATCGATTCCCCCCTCAAAATAAAACTTTCGCTATCAATTTCTAAGATCATTGTAACAATGACCTTAGAATTCTATTGAAAATCGATAAAAAGAAATTTGATCCCCCCCTCCCCAAAAATCTTGGCTGAGTCACTGCTCCTTACTGTCATTAACAAAATTTTCATATCTATTTTTGCAAGACAATCTTTCACAATGACCATATGCCTCTTTTTCTATACTGGAAGTATTTTTTATCCTTTTGAATTTGTATACTTTCTCTTTTTGTTATGCTGCCAGGAGGCGTCATAACCGCTTCCCTCATAAAAAAGATACTCGAAATATAATTGTTGTTTCAATACTAATAAATAATTAATTTCATAATTATCCATTTTTACCAACGTTCTTATCATCTCATTGAAACGGGAAATAATTACACATATCATTCAAATCAATATCTATCCATTAAGGTATTATATATGTTTAAGCAGTAAAAATCATAAAATTTATCTTTATATTTATGAATAAATATTTTTCCATACAGTATAGCAAGAAACGTTCGAACTTTACAGTCACATGCTCGAAGAAACATGGCATGTATCATCATCGAGTGCTGAAAGAGTAAAATTTTGACCACTGTTTCAAATCACTGTTTCATTCATTCTAAAAGTCTCGAAATTCATGAATCTCGAATTAGTATTTCGTTCTAATGTTCGCCATTCGGACGCTTTGATGAATCCATAATATTGTTAGGTATATCCATCCGTCCATTTATAATATTAAGAAAAAAACTACCAGATGAGCTTCAACAGTTGAAGTATCCCAGCTTTGCAAAAAAACAATGTTTCTACTAGAATTCTTTTTTACAGAATCAGAACTCAGCTGATGTGCTTTTAACACTTACAGTTTATCGATATTGATTGGTTAATATGTCTCCATTAATTTGTGATTACGACCTCGCCCAATGTTTCACTTTTGGAGTTGAAATTTTTTAAACCGGAAACCTGAAAAGGTTGAGTTTCAAATAATATTTTCAGTTTTAGTGAGACCGCTCGTTTAAAAATTTTAGAAGTTTTTATTGGTTTATCTGGCTGTCATTACCGTTCGGACTATCAGATGATAATAAATAAAACATAAATTAAAAGCATGAACAAAAAAAAGAGGAACAATACAAAAAAAGTAAGGAAAATAGGGCGTTTTCTATGTTGCATATGCTTTCAGTTATATTAAAAGAATATATACAAACTTTACTATAACACTGACAAATGAGTAGTTCGAATGGGCATACACTTGGCTTCGAGACTCGATGTATAATCAATATTTTACAGGTTTAGAAGTTAAAATGTGTTCTTTGGTTTTATTTTTAGTTACTCAATTACAAATTTACAAGCAGATAATTTTCTTTCAACTCTTTGCTGTAGTCTGTGTACATTATTTTCCTTGTTCTAGATTATCATGAGGATATTTTCTATTAGAGACTGAGCGAAAGTATGGATGCACTTGAAATTGAACGTCTATGTTCTCAATTATACAGTGGTGGTAATAATAGCGATCAAATTCGTCAAGCTAGTCAGCGTTTAGAAACATTCGTTACGCAACAAGATTGTTTAATACAATGTCGTCTACTATTAGATCGTTCTCTAACACCATATACACAATTTTTTGCTACGACAACATTGATTAAATATTTTAATAAATCAACAAATCAGTCATTGATCATTGTTAATGATCGTCTAGAGTTACGTTCCTATATTCTTGAATATTTGTATAAACGTAATACACAATTGGCGCCATATGTTGTGAGTGAAATAACAAAATTGTATGCACGAATAACAAAGAGTTCTTGGTTTGATACAATAACACCAGACGATTCATCCTATCCATTTCAATCATTTACAAATGATTTATTAAAATTTCAACAAGATCCACAACATTTTGTCATATCCATACAAATATTAATCTCTTTAATAAATGAAATTGGTACACCAAATGATGAAGAAACAACAGCAAGAGCATTCAGTAAACATCGTAAAATATGTACGTCATTTCGAGATACTAAATTACTTGATATCTATTTATTTGCATTGAAATATTTAAAAGAAGTTGTTGACAAACAAATAAATTCATCATCATCATCATCAACAGTTTTCTTACAAAAAACACCTTCAACATCAGCCACTCCTACTTCTCCAACCATATCAACAGCAACTTTAATTGCATATCCAAAAACACTTACAACAATTCAATTACAACCTGATTATTATCTTGTCGTTGAAAGATTACTTTTATTGGCTCATCAATGTCTAACATATGATTTTCTTGGTAAGTTTATAATGGAATAATTTTGATTTAAACTAACTAGAGAACAGAATGTTATTTCTCTTTTCAAGTAATGACAGTAATTGAAGTGTACCGTGGAATGTTTTAGGCTATTTATATGTAGTTAAAAGAATAACTTTTTAATCACAGAACAAAAGTAACCTTACATTTTCATTTTTCATGTAACTTTTTCCTTTTTTTTCAAAGGTACCGGTTCATCTGTGAATGATGTTGACACATCGGATGAATGTCAAACATTGCAATTACCATTGAGTTGGCACGATTATATTGTTGATCCTTCGTATTATGAACTATATTTTTCTTATTATTTTTATTTTTCTCAAACAACATTAGTATCAACTGCACTAGCGTGTCTCGTTCAAATATCAAGTGTACGACGTTCACTATTAAACACAAATGAAAGATTAAATGTCTTGAACTATATGACTCATGGTATGTATGTGTTGTGACGGACGGAAGTCCTCTGTTATAACTGATATAATGTGTGTCCTATTGAAATATTCTCACTTGATAAAAATTCATTTTGTGCAACAATAAAGCCATATTAAAGTTGGTAATAGGAAAATCAGTATCTAAGTTTGACCAAATGCATTGTATTATTTTTTGTCTGAACTAGAACTCGATCACTAGGAAAGAATCATCAATTTTTCAGAGAATCCTATTTTTTACATTCTATCTTGTTTTCTTCCAGGCATACGTTCGATTCTCGAACAACCAATTGGTATTATATCTAGTGAAAAACCATTACATGAATTTTGCCGTTTGATCTGTCGTCTAAAATGTAATGTTCAATTATACGAACTAATAAAAATTGATTTGTATCCACAATTTATTGAATTATTAACAAAATTTACAATTGATCATTTGTTGAATATTTACAAGAAAATATCGTCGAATACACTCTATTATATTCTGTCATTTTGGTCTAAAATTGTATCCTATCTATCTCACAGTACAAAATCATCAAATGATTATCAACATCTACTTGACGTTTATGTCCCAGAAATTGTCTGTTATTATATTCAATCACGTTTAGAAGGTTTATCTCGTTTAGACTCAATAAATGATGAATTGATTGATGATGATTTAAGTGATTCAAATGAATTATACGATGAACTATTTGATAATGATCAAGCTCAATTAAATCAACAATTAGAACAAATTAGTACTATGTCTCGTATTGATTACAAAAAAACGTGTACATTATTATGTTCGATATTTGATGATTTAGCTCAACAATATCAGCTCATTTTACAACAATATATATCACCACCTCCACAACAACAACAAAATACCGTAAAACAAACATTTTATCAGATTGAAAGACGTTTTACATTTTTAATTTATGTTATTTCGTGTGTTATTGGTGCTCGAGGTATCACTCTACCATCTCTATCGTTACAAAATGATGAACAAGATTTATTTGACGGTGAATTAACGATACGAGCATTACAATTAATGACATTTATTCAACAGCAAACACCTTCTACAACAAATTCGTCCGTAGCATTTACAAATGTATTAAATAGTAATAATAAAAATGAACAATTATTCTTACCAACGGCATCGTCATCGTCTTCATTACCCTATTCTGAACGTTTAGAATTAGCAATACTCTATTTTTTCGAACAATTTCGTCGACAATATATCAGTGATCATTCCAAACCAAATAAAATATATCAGATACTATTCAAACATTTAGGTAGGAGAAAAAAAAGAGTTTTTTATCAGTTAAATAAGATCCGAGTTGGTGTTTGTTTTTGGTACATGAGACACAGGGATAAGCAGATGGTACTGTTATAAAACAACAGTTATGAATCTATGCCTCGTCATTCTGAAACAGACATATAGAGCCATTCTACACAATTCTACTACCAGAGCGTGAGCGTGTTACCGTTGTTTGTATTTGAGGAAAACATTGGAGATCGGTCTGATTTGTGAACATCTGCAATTTACATAATATCTAGATGTTTAGATATTCTGATATTCAAATGTTAGATATTTGAATATTCAGATGTTAAGATCTTCAGTTCTTTTCACTCACTCTCATCTCTCCACTCCCTACATTTCTAAATATCTAACATTTGAATATCAGAATATCTGAATATCTAAACATCTAGATATTATGTAAATTGGAGATGTTCACAAATCAGACCCTACTGAAACATTGTGAAAATTTGAGTAGCATCTTGTTATGTACCTGAAAGTGTGCTCTTCACAATCTGCTCTAGAACTGATTAATTTGAATCACTCACCTTTCTTTAAATTATAATGAAAATCTGGTAAGCTCAAAATTAAAATTATTTTTTTTCAGGGATGCTGGTATTTAGATTGTAGTGCAAAGAAGGCCGAGTAGGTATGTACCAGTTACAGTTTTTTACCAGTTAACTGTACTTTTAAAACTGCTCATAACTGTACGCAAATATTCTAGAGTGAGTTAGTCTTGCAAATCGTAGAAGACTAACTAACTCTATTTGACCATATTTGTCTACAGTTATGACAGCCAAAGTTTTATAGTTTTACAGTTAACTGTAACTGATGCATGCCTAAGGCCGAATGATTCAAATTAAACTTAGAGCAGATTGTGAAGAGCACACTATCAAGTACAGAACAAGATGCTACTCAAATTTTCACAATGTTTCCTTCAAATATTATAATACAAACAATAACAACAAAAATGGTAACACGCTCATGTTCTGGTAGTAGGATTATGTGGAATGACTCCATAGATAACGAGAGATATAAAACTATCTTAAGCGTTTTTTTTCCGCATTTTCTTTAAGGTATAGCTGACGAAGTGCAATTACTATCTATATTTGTCAAAAAATTATTTACAAATTTACAATATAGTACGATAACGGAAAAACTAATTGAACGTACATTATTTTGTTTTAATGATTTAAGTCAAGGTTACAATAGTGTAAGAAAACTTGTTAAATTAGAACCGATTCAATATTTCATTAATAATCATACTCAAGATTATTTTCCATTTTTAAATTTATACGCTTATTATCATTTGCAAGGGGGAGGAAATAAGGCAATGAATGACAACAGTAACAATAGTAATCAAATTTTATTAGATGATTCAAATAATGGTGGTACAACAAGAAATCTTAAATCATCAAAATATCTTGGTTGTCGGATTAAAACAGCAGCTACTACATCATTATCATCATCCTCGAAATATACAACATGGTCACGTTTACGCACAATATTTTATTCAGCTGTCGGACGATTACTAATGCATGAATTTCATTTTCATGAAGAAGATGATGAACGATTTGAAAAATTTATGTTACCATTTACATTACAATGTCAAAAACTGATACAAATATTTAAAGAATTTCCTGATATTGTCCAAACGACGGGAAATATACCACTATTACCAACAACATCACCAACATTAAATGCATTCAGGTAGAAGTTCTACAGAGAAGTTTCTATACTTGTAATAGGAGGCGTATTGCATGAGATAGTTGGTCTAGGTTAAAACGTGAACGGCTAGGGAGATTTTTTTGATAAAACTGAACGCTTAAGGATTTGAAGCCATGCTTTTTCCACTGAAACATCAAAAAAATTCTCATAATAGTGCAAGTAGGATTTCTAGAAAACTAGGAATTTTTCACTACCAAAGTGTATAATAAAATTAAACTTTTAGAAAACATCTCGTAGGCGTAACTTTCTCGATGAATGTAAAATGTCTTAACGAACATTTTGGAAAAAAATTTTGAACATGTGTGCTTGTTTGATTGTTTAATTTAAATTTTAAAATTCAAAACTTTTAGCCTAGACCAACTATCTCATGCAATACGCCTGTTACCAAATGATTTGTTTCAAACGTTTTACAAGAGCAAATATGGCCTGAACTTAGCATAAAAAGTTATTCTTTTTATTTCACCAATCCTTTATCTCTTTTCTAGTTCACATCAATCACCTACACCATCATCACATTTAAAGTCATCATTAGCTACTATCGATGAAATAAAAGCGATTATAGTTGGTCTTGTTCGTGATTTACGCGGTTTATGTTTTGCATTTATATCAAAACAATCGTATACATTTTTATTTGATTGGCTCTATCCAAAATATATTCATTTATTTATGAAATCGATCTATTATTTTTATGACACATACGAAGTTTATAATCCCATATTAAAATTCTTTCATGAATTTGTTTCAAATCGTCAGGAACGTTTAGTATTCGAATGTACAAAACCAAATGCCTATTTATTATTTCGTGAAACATCTCATCTAATGTATGTTTATCAGACAAAAACATTGAATTATTATAATCAAATATTACAAGATACTGATCAATATTTTTATGAAAAAAAATTAAAATCAATTATGATATGTTTTAGAATTATACGCGCATGTTTATCAGGTACGATTAGTGCAGTAACGAGGAAACCTATCCAAGTGATACCTTCCGATTTCGTTCGTTCATACGACGATTGATAGAGAGTATCGAGCTAGTAAAAAGCCTAGAAGGATTTTCCCCCATGAATCTTGAAGGCCTGATTTCCGGTAAACCAGTTTTTCAGAAACTCTAAAAAGTAGCCAAAACCTTTCTTAACGAGGCATAATTGTAGCGCGCACATTTCTGATTAAAATGAGACATCTCTCAGCTCTACATGACATTTCTTTGCAAAGTTATAGAATTTATAAAAGCCCTAAATGTTCATTGTCAGCTCAAAGCTACAGAAATAAGAAGAAATTAATTTAAGACTTTTCTTGTAAATTCTATAACTTTACAAAGGTCGTATAGAGCTCGGAGATGTCTCATTTTAATCAGAAATTTGCGAGCTGCGATTATGCTTCATTAAGAAAGGTTTTGGCTACTTTTTAGAGTTTCTGAAAAACTGATTTTTCGGAAAACCAGGTCTTCAAGAGCTATGGGGGAAAATCGTTTTAGGCTTTTTACTAGCTCGATACTCTCTATCGATCGTCGTATGAACGAACGAAATCGGAAGGTATCACTTGGATAGGTTTCCTAGTAAGAAATGTCACTATACGGTAAAAAAAAGTTATACTTGAATATTTTTTTATTGTAGGAAACTATCTGAATTTTGGTATATTTCATTTATATTCTGATTCATGTTTTGAAAATACTTTAAATATCTTTGTTAGCATGTTATTAACATTAAAACAAGATGATCTATTATTATATCCAAAACTGACATTAGCCTATTATTCATTAGTGGAAACACTGGCCGTTATAAACATTGAATATTTATCAAATTTAAATTCACAATTATTTGGTTATATTTTAAATACAATTAGTGAAGGACTTTTATCATTTGAACAAAGTATACAAAATTCATGTTGTGTTTATTTAGATTTATTTTTAACCCATGTATTTCGATCTGTTTATCAACAACAACGGAAACAACAACAATCACAAACATTGCCATCAACAATGGATCAAGCATACGTAACAAATCAATATAATCAAATGGTATTAATTAAAATAGATCAAAATCAAAATAATGAACGATTTTTAGCAAATATAAATGAATATGAGCAATTATTTCGTCAAATTCTAATTAATATCCTTAACAGTATTATCTATGATGAATGCAAAAATATGTATTCGATATCGAAACCACTATTAGGTAAGCTCGAATGATAACTAAGTTGAATGAAATTAAAATTTGATCAGTTTTTTTAAAAAATAAAGTCAAATGGCGAGATTAAGAGTAATTTTCATTTTTCAGTTTGAACATTTAACATTTTCTATCATACCTCACTAATACTGACAATTAATTCTAGGTTTAATTTTATTGAACGAAAATCAATTTTTTAACGATATTAAAAAACAATTATTATACGGTCATCCAATACAAAAACAGCAAGCATTATCAACAGCTTTAGAAAAATTAATGAATGGTATTGATCGAACATTGACATCGATTAATAAAGAACATTTTACACAAAATATAACATTATTTCGTAAAGATATTCAAGATGCATTAAAATTAAATGAAACAAATTCAAATGATCAAAATAATAATAATTGTTTTTCGGGTAGTAGTGGTGATCAAACAACATTTACTATGTTACCAATTCAATCAGGAATAACGCAGACGATACCATCATTAGTTCCAACATCATCAATTGCCAATGAAATGATGACCATGTAAAGAAGGATGGTGCACACCATATAAATAGTATTTTTTATTAACTTTTTGTGAAATAAAACATTTACGGTGATATTCAATTCAACTCTGGGATTTCTTATCAGAGTGTGTGACTTATTTCATTTTTAACGGTCTGATACTTTTGTTAATATGTGTGTGTAATGTGTTCTCTTTTTTCCTCTATTTTGTTGTAAGTGGTGTATTTTTTTTTTGTTGTTATTGTTGTTGTTTTTTAATGCTAGACAGATATTCTTCTTTTGTTTTCTAAACTAATTTAATTATGTTCTTTGTAAAATGAAATTATATATATATATTTTTATCTTGTGTATGAAAAGAGATGAAACAGAGAACATGGATCTTCCACTATTGTATGTGTGTCTGTGTGTGTATGTTTGTCTACTGTGAGTGTTCTCTCGTTTTCTTATGCTCTTCTGTGTCCTTTGAATAATAAAACTTGAAAAAAGAACGTATTGTATTTTACACAGACAATCTGAGTGAGTAGATTGGAGGAATCAAAAAGAGCCCTCACTTAAGTCCTATGTTCATCTCTTTAAACACGATGTGAAAAACAGGGACTTTTTTTGCGCGCGTGTTATCTACAATTTTCATATAGCATCGTGTTTACTCTTGGAAAAAATTTGTAAGTATGTTTGTCCGTTATTCATACAACTATTCACTTTTTTGTATATTCTGGTGTTTAAAAACAAACAACAGATGATAATAGAAAAAGATCAATGAAAACCGTTTTGTATTTTATTATATGTATGAAAAAGATGAATGAAGAATTCAAAAAGAAAAAGATTATTGAACTCATTTATTTGAATAAAAAGAAAATATACAGAATAAAAACAAAACAATTTTACAGAAACAAAAGATCTAAGATTGTTAGTTATTGATATCGTTTTCCATAATCTGTTATAGAGATGATATTTTCTCAATTGATATCAACGCAAAAACGACTAAATTTCGATCTTTCATTCTCCTATTGCCTGATAAATAGTTGACTTATTGATTGGCTGCGTAAAAACGACGTGCTCTTTCTTTACGAACAGTTCAATATATCACGAAATAGTAGAGCTCATCGCAGTTCTCTGATTTTTAATGCGATAACTGTCTGTCATTAAACAAAAATAATCAAAATCAAAAAATACATAAAAACAAGATATAAAATTGAAAATGAAATAAAAAAATAGACAAATAAACATTAAACTAAGAATAGTGGAATATGGTCAAAATGTCACGTTTACGAATGAAGTATTCGAAAGAAAATAGAAACGAATCAAATAAGCAATTCATGAAATTTGTTTCAGTTGATGACTGTAGATCAAGAAGAAAGAAGACTGTACTGTTTGAGGAGAAAACTCATTAATAAGAGAAGAAATATGAATACATTTATTATATTTAATTGTTTCTTTATAAAATATGGATAAAATATTAACGTAGCAAGAAATGTTTCTATACAATACATTAACTGTTTAGTTGTTTGAAAACTATCATAACATATCTTTCTCCAGTAATTATCGCTTTACAGACATTGCAATAAAAGACCTTAAGAAACAGAGTTGCCACCTTTAAAGGTCTAAAAAACCATGTTAATAAATTAAAAAATTAAAAGTGAAATCAATAAAATGTTTACACGGACAAATGAAAGTAGTATCTTTGAATGGGTGAATGTTAGACTATTTGTTTTCATATTTGTGAATAGGAAAAAGCAAAATGAATTATTTAACGTATATTAAAAATATGGGCTTGCAAAAAAAAAGATAGAGAGAAAGAAGTCATAGTATCACAGATTTTACACTTGTTTCTGAGTAATCAATGATTAAGTTTCTACTGAATTGACCAATCTATCGGATCTTTTCCGTAATTAACTAGGGCCTTATTTGCTTGCGAAAAGCATTTACAACCAAAAAATCTGGCAAAACTAAGTGGTGATGGATGAGAACTTTTGATGATTGTATGTTTAGTTGTATCAATTAATTTTTCTTTTTTATGAGCAAAATTACCCCATAACAAAAACACCAAACCTAGAAAAATAAATAAAACTAGTTATAATCAAAATGGTCTTTATTTTAACCAACACACCATCTCGTTCTTTGGATAGAATTTCAATAATATTATCTGTGAATGCATGCCATCCGATTCGAGAATGTGAATTTGCCTGATGAGCCCTACAAAATGGGGACATTATAAATAATCATTAAAACATTTATAATGACAACGTACTCGACAGTTAGTGCGGCATTCAAGAGCAATACACCTTGTTTTGTCCAATCTTCCAAACAGCCATGGTTTGGTATTTTAAAACCTTCAATATCACGCTCAAGTTCTTTGTATATATTTTTTAATGATGGCGGTAATGATGAACCAAATGTTCTAGGAACACTAAAGGCTAAACCATGAGCCTATAACACATAAGTTTCTCAATTTAAATGAACTAAAATAACAACTGTATCATTCATTACTTGACCGTCATCATGGTATGGATCTTGACCCAAAAGAACTACTTTAACCTTTTAAAATAAAAAGAAGCAAGTATACAACTGCCACTAAAATAAATAAATTTTTGTTCAACTTATACTTTGTCGAATGGTGTTTGATTAAATGCCTCAAATATGTTTTCTTTCATTGGGAAAATTAATTTTTTTCCCAACCATTCTTTTTCAAGAAATGATTGAATATCCTTTGCTGTTTTATGGTTTTCAAATAACGGTTTCAATTGTTTTTGCCAGGACGGATCAGTTATGAGATTGAATAATGACAAATCATCGCCCGTAATTGGTTTTTTACTAGTAGCACTAATTGGCGAAGATACAGTTATATCATTCTTATTCATTTCATTATTATCATTCTTCAATTTTGAATTTTCTTTTGGTCCATTATTAACGTCAGTATCCGGTTTACTTTTTTTACTGGCTACTTTTGATTTTTTTTCAACAACAGTTACCGTTTTGACTGAAGGTGCTCGCTTACGTTTTTGTCTTGTGGTTGTTTTAACCTCACTGCTGTCGGTCTTATCCGAGCGAGATGCAGCAGCCGAAGCAACGGAAGAAGATCGTAATCGATATTTTCGGTCCATAGTTAGTTTTTTTATATGCTAAAATACACAAGGTGTAATCAAACTAATGAAACGGTAATTCATTAAATTACATATCAATGAGTCTGCTGTAGAGACCTGCAATCCAATCCGAACCCGACCTTAGGATCGGATCGGGTTCGGGTTACGTTTTCTTATCCATGTCTGCTGATATGCCACAGTTTATCTCTGCTTTACTATAATTTAACGGATGTCCCAGAATACATTGAACTAAATATTAACGCATTTTCTATCACTTCCTATTTATAACAAAAAAAATCTTTTTTTATATGCCAAATGATAGAGAATTTAATTTTCTACAAGATTGTATATTTATTTTTAAGACGCAGTTTTAATGTTTGGCGCAGTAACTCCAACAAGGAAAGCGCAAAACCTCACTAAAAATCATTTATTCAACAAAACAAGGTATGCCGACAAATTCAGCAAGAAATTTTCTATAATATGATGTGTTTTATAATGAGGAATAATGATTTTTTAGATGAAATCCGTGCGAAAAAGAGTCTTTGAAAAAGGTCATTTTCTCGTATTTTTGGGCCCATCATAGAGATATCTAGTATTTCCTAGTTTGTCAGGTAAAAGAAATAGCAGTTTCATTTGTAAGTTACACAGTCTAATAGAGCGAGAAATTCTGCATTTCTGTAAATTAATGATTTGAACTTTGGATTTTATGCTGAAATAGTCAAGATGTTTTTATAGTGCTAAACTTCGGTGGGCTTGGAAGTTTACCTGATAAAGACCCCAGCAATTGAAATAAATTAACTTCAAGTAAAGTCTTTTGTAAAGCATGAAATTCTTCACCATTTGACGTTAACAAAATTATTTCAAATTTTTTTGTACTCATTATAAACAATTAAAAACAGAAGGCAGTTTGCAATTTAAAACGGCGTGGTGCAGTTAAAAAATTCGGAGCTTTTCTTGTTGGAGTTACTACGCCGAACATCTAATGTGAATCTTTCTAGGATTCAATACCCCTTTAGATTCCTGAACATCTAAAATGAATCCTAAAAACTTAGTTTCGACCATCACTGTCAAGCAGATCAAAAATAAAACTTGTTCTATATATAAATATATATACGAATTTATTTATTATAGTAGTAAATATAACAATAAACAAAGAATAACAAGATCCACTATATGATTTTATTGAACTATCATACGGAGTATTCAAAATTTGCTAATAGTTGTTTGATATCATTTTCTATTTTTGTTTGTTCATCTTTTGACAAAGCAATTTCATTTAAATATCGACATATATCATCTTCGCTTATTTCATTAAATGTGTCTTGAACTAAAAAATAAAAAAAAGTAATTACATGATTAAGTAATAGTGAGATGAAAGTTAAATAAAAACAAGATTTGCTTACAACGGAGTGGCATGTAACCAGTTAATTCGACACATGCATAGTTACATCGATCATGAACTTTTGCACCTTAAAATAACAAGTAAAGGTGAAGTCCGCATAAGAACGGAAATCGGCCCACTAACAATAACCGCTCCAATCGGTCCAAACCTCATCAGAATCACATCCAATTATGATATTCAATGAT